TTGTGCTAAGATGGTGTCTTTGGCACGCCCCCTCCTCTGTTGCCGGCCCGCTTCCTCGTCGACAGTCATGTCAAACTGGTTCAAAACCAAAAAAGTCCACGCTCAATAATCCAGGTATACAATCCAACAATTTTCAGTGAGGTCATTAGGATGTTTCAGCCATAAAAGAAATTGTCCAGATGACCTGACTGAAAATTGTTGGATTGTATACCTGGATTATTGAGCATGGACTTTTTTGTTCAATATTTTCCATGTTAGAATGAATGAATTCGTCAGATCTCAGTCAAAAATTTGGTTATAAATATGGGGAGAAAACATAAATAAGTCGCAGGCATACTAATTTATGCTAAAATAAACTACTACTTACTACTTTTGCTACTATTCCTACTTTGGGGTTTTTCACTTTTTGCGGGGGGACTGAGAACAGAACCCCCCGTGATAAAATAAATACTTTTGTAATCATTTCTTTGTCTAAAAAACATAAACATTAGGTTTTCTGTGCCAGTAAAGTGTCCAGAAAAAGATCATATGTCAAACGTCTTAGTAAAGTTATTTGCCTAAATTATCTTTTGTTTAACTCTTATAATAAATAACACAGTTTAAAAATTTGCACAGCACAGATGAAAAGCAGTAGAAGAGTACTGATGTAAAAAATAATAAAAGGAAAGGGAAGATCTGGAAATGACGAGATGAGTGGAAGCACGAGCAGGAGGGCTCCCTCGTCCGTGCGCTTATCTCGGGTGATGTTTTATCAGTGACACCTCACTGCGCTGCTCGTCACCACTTTGTCCTGGAAGAAGTTCGTCATTCTCCTCCTTTTAATCTCTCGGTTCATGCATTTGTCTGCCCATCCATCCAACCAGCCATTCTGATGTCCTCAGAGCTGAAACTGACTGCAGAGGAATGAAGAGATGGGAGATGAAGGGATCCACGTGCGCTCATATAACACGTTCACATAACAAGCAGACGGTTATTAAAAGGATCTGGCTCATTAACCCGGCAGCTCCTAACTGCGTGGATCACAGCCTTTAGTCGCTGTTGTTTGTGCGTTGGTTGGCTGGAAACAAATGGCGGTCGCTGCAGACG